GCCGCTCTTCACCTACTACCTGTCCTCGTCTCACAGCTGGGAGCTGGGCGCGCCGCTCTGCATCGCCCAGTCGGGCCTCTTCTTCCTCAACATGTTTGTCAGCGCCTTCCTGCTGGCCACCATCAGCCTGGACCGCTGCCTGCTAGTGATGCAGCCCATCTGGAGTAAGACCCACCGTTCGGTGGCCATGGCCAGGAAGATCTGCGCCCTGGGCTGGCTCTGGGCGGGCATCAACACCATACCCTATGTGCTCTTCCGTGCCGTCATTCCTACGACGGATAATCGGCTTCTCTGCTACCATGACTTCGCCCGTTTCCCTACAGCCGCAACCCTAGACCATGACTGCCGAGTCCGGCAGGAGGCCACGGCCCTGAGCAAGTTTCTTCTGGCGTTCCTCATCCCGCTGATCATCATTGCCAGCAGCTACGCCTGTGTGAGCTGGAAGCTGAGGCAGAGACACTTGCAGAGGCAGAACAGCCTCTTCACCAACAGGAGGATCTACTGCAACAGCACCTCCAGCACTCTCTCCCCCAGGTTCTCCAAGATGGTGATGGCAGTGATCGCCGTCTTCATCTTCACCTGGTCCCCCTACCACATCTTCTGCCTCCTCGAGATATCCTCTGCCTCCGCCAATCCTCTGTCCGACGTCCAGAAGGTGGTGGAGGTGGGTCTCCCAATAGCCGCCACCTTCTCCTTCCTAAACGCCACCCTCAACCCCTTCCTCTACGCGTTTAGCTGTCCGGATTTCTGTGAAAGGATTCGGGAAAGTATGGGGGCCGTCTTGGAGGGTCTTCTGGCGGAGGGTGAGGACACAGGGTCGGCCAGATTGCAGTTTAATGGTATTAGAAGGTCAGTCATTGAAAAAGCCAGAAATATAGACAATAATAGCAAAACAGAGATAGAAAGTTAATGGCCCAGCATGTGGGGCTAAAACTGAGTTGTGTTGCTTCATTCCAACATATAATCCCGCTTTAATGATCCACAGGTAAATAAATCCTTAGCCTTCGAACATGAGAGATAATTTAAACACAAAAGAAACTGGAAGAAGATGACTTAGATCATATTTAGCCTGAAGCTAATTAATTAAATCCCACATTTATTGAATACAACATGAGCATTCCCTGTTTACATAGCACATTTGTCATTGTAATTGTAGATCTATCATTCATATTGGATTGTCATTCATAATGAGAATTATTGTTTTGTATAGAAGGTATTTATATGAATATGCATGTAATTTCTCTTTGTGAAACTGTGGCAGTCAGCAGAAGCAAACATACATTATCACCATTAAAATCCATATGGTACATTTGATAAATAAACCTATACTGTATATCATTCTTTATTAGTTTGGTATTCCCTGTGTGTCTGACGGTCTTCTATGCTTTCTACATTGTATTCTATATTTTTTGCTTACATGAAAATATGAAAATCAACATAAGACACATGAAAATAACACAGCGGAACAATATTGCAATATGTAATTTACATGACATTTCTCCCAGAGTCCCCCCCCCCAACCCTCTCCTAGAGAAGTGATTGGACAATTGATGGATGCAAGTATGGAACTTTCCATTCTTGTTTACTACCATATCAAATACTCTCTACGTATAATGCAATTTTGGTTAATTATAGCGGCGTAATTACCTCCTTTGACTCTAAGTAGGAGAAGTGGTCACAAAAAAATGCATGGAAGTATGTTAACAAGTGTGCCTCATTAAATAAAAAAAAGTATTTTTTAGAAAGTTGCCTTTCACTTTATCTCTATCAGAAACCCAGCCCATCCCCTCAGCAGCCACCCTCGTCCGTCTTGCCAGTATCTCTCCATCAAACCCAGCCACCCTCGTCCATCTTGCCAGTATCTCTCCATCAAACCCAGCCACCCTCGTCCATCATGCCAGTATCTCTCCATCTCTTCCCCTTCGACCTCAGAGTAAAGCGATAAACTCTGAAAGTCAAGTCAGCCCCCTACTGTTACAGGGAGCACCTGTTAGAGGAAGCTGATCCGGCTCCGCATGGTAAAGTGCTATCAGTAATAATCAACATGAGCCCATAGCGATGCCCAATGCACATCTTTGGCAACAAAATGGAAAAATAACAGAATAGCGTTACCTTTCAAAATACTGTAGTGTGATGTCTGCATGATACGACAGTATGAAACATTACAAATCACCCACTACCTCTGTGCCTTATTTTCTACTTCAGATTTAATGAGATTGATCATTTCGGTCAAAGCAAATTGAATTTTTGCATTAATTTTTTTCAAATGATCCTTTTTTTATATTTTAAAAACAGGCTAAATAAACGCGACAAATGTTATTTAATAAATGCTCAATAAATAATTACGAGTGAATTCCACTTTAGGGGAAACATTTAAGAAAAAAAAATGAAACTCTTTAGAAGGAACAAACTGCGGCTGACAGAGTCACACAAATAAACGCTTTTTCAGTTAGAGGTAAAAGCTCCCCGCCGTGATTCAGTTAGAGGTAAAAGCTCCCCG